AATACACAGAGCTAAAAGAAGAAATAATTAGAATATGGAAGATGAATCGTGTGTATATTGTGCCTCTGGTGCTCTCCAGCACTGGCATAATACCTAAGCACCTACAACATTACCTACAACAAATTGAATTACCTATAAATACATATATAACCATGCAAAAAGCCGCTATATTGAACACGTGTAGAATAGTTCGTAAATTTCTACAAGACGACGCAAATATTGAACCTATTCCCCCCAATGAGGCTCACTTGGCTTAGGCCCGTGGTTTCATTAATTCTTAAAATGCCGAGGAAAGCAAAACTTAATTGATGGATAATAATAATAAATCTTTATTTCATAAAGCCAACTACAATTTGTCCGTCTCAATGTAATATAAAAGTACACTAATTATTAAGTAGGTACAAAGCATTTTTGAGACAGAGTTAACGACTGTGTCTGTGCTAGTATAAACTGTGTTACAGACACAGGCGCCCTCCTCTTACAATTAGTATAATTAAGGTATTGAAAACAATTAGAAAATAAAAAAATAAAATTACAGATATGAAATAGTTTACCCTAATATTAGCAAGTAATGTGTGTGTGTGTGTGTGTGTGTGTGTGTGTGTGTGTGTGTTTGTGTGTGTGTGTATGTGTGATTGTTTGTGATCGGATGAGTGAGAGTTGTGTGTTTCGGAAATAGTATGCAACAGCACAGTATCACTAGATATTAAAGGGATTTAAGTCTGTTTTTAAATGCGTTCGTGATTTTATTTGCAATGAGTTGTTCAGTCACATCGTACGTCAACTTTTTGAGGAAACCACTCACTACAGTTTTACATTTAGATTTAGTTAGGGCATATACATTGCAAATATCGTTTATTGCGTTATAAAGGTGGCTGCTAAGATATGGGTAGCTTCTTCTTGCCAGAGCGGTTTTGGTGGCGACAGATGGACATACAGGATCTTTACGTCGTTTATTTTGCTCTAGTAATCTTGGGTCATAGGTCAATGATGAGTGTGTACGTAAAGTGATATTAAGTACACAGAGCTGTCGGACAGTAAGTACAGATACGTCTTTATAAAGTTGGGTAGTCGGGTACCAGTAAGGTTTGTGAAGCATGACTTTCAAGACATTATTATATGTGGGCCTTGCATCGTGACATGAAAGACATTTTGTTACATTATTATTAGACATGCAAGCTAACATTTAATGGCAAAACATGGTAAAATATAATGTTTCATTATTTAACCTTTAAATTTTGGTAACTTGAGACACAGTAGAAGAAGAATAGGTGCATGAATACCTGTGTTCACTTGGTGTTTGAAGAATTAATAGCGATATTTTTGTTTTCATAAGTTTTAATTAGTTATCAAACCTTTGTTTGTGGATAGAAAAACTTTTGAAGGCAAACTCCTCTACTATAGGTTATCAGTGAACTAGGTAGAGGTTTTATTGTGTTAATAGGACAACATCTATTTAGAGAAAATGGAAAAGCCGCGTATTGGGCCAATCCAAAGAACATGACATAACAACAAGAAAAAAACCAAAAATATGTATCTACATGTTAGTCTGCAAAAAAAAACTGTCCATAAGAATTCAGTTAACACTTAAAAAGATTATATTCTTTCACAATGCATTTACAAATAAAAAACATCAAGTAAATTGCTGATAAAAAAAAAAACAAAAATTTTTTTTTTAATTTAAAAGGAGGTTGTTCCAAAAAGCTTTTAAGTAAAGCCTTGTCAAAATAAGAATGCATTGTTATTGCGTTTTAATGCGTCAGATAGAGTCACAGATAATAAAAAAATAATGTTTACAACGAATTTCTTATGTTGGGCAAATATGGTTGTGATAAAATAATGGATGGGTCTACACTTCTGATAGTTAATGATGATAAAGAAGACTTATTTTATTAATAGTTTGATATATTTCCGTTTTATATTCTGAACTTGAGTGACATTTGTGTCAAGATTGTTGTTTATTGAACACTATTGGGCCGCCCTTGTGGGTATCCAACTCTGTATCAGTCATTTTATAATGAACTGCTACAGTTGCTGAAAGGGATGCAATAACCCTAGCAGCACTGTAAAAAAAAAAACAGTTTATATATACAATTTTTTTTAATAATATGAATTTTTCTGACAATAAAAAAATACTTCAAAATAGAAGTTGCAAAAAAGTTTCAGCCGTTCTCGAGATGACGCTTACACACGTGAATTTAGACAATTTTTTAGCTTTACTAGTTTAGTCATGACAGATGTATTATTATTAAAACTAGCAGAGATATTCTCAGTTTATTTTTTGAGGGTAATAAAAATTATCTACTGTCTTCTGTCACCCTCTATGACATAAAAGTGAGTGTCCGACTCTTACTGGGTAAAACCAGCTGCTCCAGGCCAGGCCAATGTTGTTATTATTTCGCTTGACTTGCCCTCCCAGGCGATTTTCCGAGTTAATTCACATTAATAAGCTATTGTTTTCAATAAATTATTATATATCCCTCTATAGATACAAAAATATTGTTATTGATTATTACATTCCTGTTATCAAAACAAGCATTTCTATTAGTCTCTTGTATTGGTTTAAGAGGTTAAGGAAGTGAGTAAATAAATTATGATTATTCAATCATGAGTTATTTTTATAATACATGTTTGTCATCTGTGTTTAAGTGAAGTGAATGGTTTATGGTTATAAGTATATGCATATTAATTCAAATACCTTTATGTGTAATTTACAAATTACTTCATGAAAATAAATAAATTATATATTATAATGGAGAAATTGTATTATCATATACAGGCACAGATTTAAAGCTCAATGTACTCACTATGGCAAAATTTGAGCACAAACTATCCATATAGTAGTATTATAAGGATGTTTTCTGTTCTCTGCTCAGCTATGCTCAGTACACCATAGTCCAAACCTAAGTCCAATCGGACAACTCATAAAAAAAGTGTATCTTATTGTAAATCAAATATCTGATTAAAACAATACTTATTATTAATTGAGTAGTACAAGTGGCTTCTGACCAAAATAGATTAGCATTAGGGTTACAGAATGTTAGCACAGTTTTGAATGTAACATTTCTGATAATAGATATTTATCATATCTGTTTAAGTATAAAAACCACAAAATAACGATATAATAGTAGTATTTTAAGGATATATTCTGTTCTCTGCTGAGTTATGCTCAACGTCCAAACCCAAATCCAATAGGACAACTCAAAAAGAAAGTGTATTCTATTGTAAATCAAGAACTTGGTTAGAAGGAGTCTTGGTAATATAACAAGTGCTTCCTGACCAAAAATAAATTACCATAAGGGCAGCAGAATGATTGCACAACTATTGAATCATAAGTTACTAGCCTGCGAACAATTACCAATAACAAATCTGACAATAGTATTAATGATCTCTATATTTCAATTCAGTCTGTCAATACAACAATGAAAAAATTGTAGGCACATTTTTTTATTTAGCCTCCTGAGAATACTTAATAGATAAAATGAATTAAAGTTCAGCAAGTGTATCAACTTTGATGTTTTTCTTCGAAGAAGAGTTGGATACTAAACAGCTGTTAGGGCTACAATTTCATATGGAGCTTATGGCAAAATTAAATATTTAGTAGGCAACAGATTATTTGCCTGTATACAGGCATGTTTTTTGACCTAAATTTCCAATTCATTTAAATACAATTTCCTGATTAAAGACAATATGCATTCATTCTATTTATTATTAAAACCTTTTCATAGAGAATTTTTATTGTTTATTGTCACTTTATGATCAGAGACAATGATATTAACATTATTATGCTATGAAAGTCATGATAAATAAGATATGGTTGATAATGCCAAGTATTTACTTATAATTTTTAAAGGTATGATAATACATTATGTTAGGTATTATTTTGTTTTATTATACTCAGCAGGATTGTTCATAGTACAGACATGAAAAATACATAATTAGGTACCAAACAAGTAAGAAAGAACAAACACAATCCTGAACATTTTAGACCCAAAAAAACAATCGCCATTTTTCTATAGCTGTTTACCTTTCATTAAAAAACAGTCATATATATAATTTAAGTAATATTTAAGAGACCTTTTCATAACAATTTGATTTCAAATTCAAATAATATCATTCAGAATCACTTTAATCAGAATGACAATTAAGAATTATTATGATGTTATACTTAGCCTTATTATATTCAATTAATTAGAAATGACATGCTTTTAAAGTTAACATTGATCTTCTAATTCTAACACAACCTATAAGGTAAAATGTTTAGAATATCTTTGCAAACTATACATGCTACAAATAGCTTCAAAATGCACTTGGTTTTATTTTATTTGTGCCTCTAATGGATAAAGATTATTTTAAAACTAAAAGTATGAAAAATTAGTCATAATATCTGGGTATAACATGATGACACATTGTAAAAGCATCTATGTAGTTATGATATAATTAAATCAATAAAACATTCACACTCATTCATTTATTTTTAAAGTAAATAATATTAAAATTTTATTATTAAATTCAAAAATAATGATTAATAATTGAGTTACTAAAATAAATAAGCAGAAAAAAAACACAGAATATAAATATTTATCTGTAAATGTGTAGTAATAGCAGCAGCAATAATAACTGGCCACATTTACAGTGATTTTGAATAAAGAATATTAACAGAACAAAGAGATGTGATGTGTTTTGAATATCACAACACCTCTGGGTGTGTTCCACACTAATTAGTAAACCAGACTCGTCCTGCACTCAAGGTCATTACTGGCACGTGTTTTTTATCATTAATATCAACCAATAAACAATACGCGACCCTAAATCACCTATCCTGAACAACTTCCAGACGATTTCCAAAAAAAAAAAATTCGATGTAAGATTTCTATCACAAACGAGATTTTTATTAATATTTTTTGCCGAGAAACTCTCGACAAATCGTAGCACCCGCGTCGACATCGTCTTAAATACAAGTAAATTAGAGATTAAAGTATTTTAGAAAGGCCCCCTACCTTGTATACATCACCGTAGGTTCCCGATCCGATTCTCTGAATGAGTTCATACTCATCTTGTGGGTTCCTCCGTGATATATCCGAACTCAAAACACCACCACTATGCGCCATAATCACTATTGAACACTAAAATAACATTTATCTACACTTTCATCTCATCATTCACATAATTATTAACACAAAACGTCGAGAAATTAATTATTTTTCTATCACTAGACATCGTCTGACGTTTGCCACAGTGCCATTCTTTGTGTTGCCATATGTAGCTTGAATATTCTTCCAATGCTTTTTGGCAATTTACTAATTAGCATTTTTTAACCTAGAAATAAATCCAAAATGACAAATACCGAAGAACTTTATCCCAGTGAGCTAATAATGAAAAATAAACCTACATTTTAAGGTAGGAGTAGGACGTTCGAAAGTTTCGCTAAAAAATTAACATGAATGTACTTCTAATTTTCTACCATAATTTTAATATTTTGTCTTGGCTACACTGCCATTTGCTGTCATTACTTGCAATGTTTGTGGTAATCCATAACGTTATTTTAATTTTTATTGTTACAGCCGAGCTCATGCATTACTATTGAAAAACTCAACACATTTTCTATGTGTATTTCCCTTGATGTATTTTTTATTATTGTTAAAAGTCATAAATAAATAAAAAGTATAGTGGCGGTGGCGAATAAACAAAATTGATGAAAATTTTTAACTATAGTCGGACTTTTAATTCGATTCCTGATTTGACAGGACCTATTGTCATTTTGTGAAATAATGATACCACATATAACAGTGTAGTGATGAACACAAAAATCGATAAACAGGAAGGCATTCAAAAAATTATGCCTACCGAATGGTCTAAATGCGTATCCCATGTTGTCAAAAAAGAGGAAAAAATTAGTTAGCTAGATATTTTAATTAGCAATAAAAATCACAGACACAATTCATAATAAATGTTACAGAAAGTAACAGCGATAGCGATAGCAATGACGGCGACATTTTATAAAATTTCTGTTTTATTTGTCATGTTCCTTCATGATCACAATTTCATTAATTTCACACACAATTACAAAAGAAAAGTCTCAGATCGTTAATTAATTGTCAAAACTAAATTATCGGTTCAGAAATATTGTATTTCCTGATAAACTTAGTTTACGAGATTAAATTTATAAACGAGAGGAATCGATTCAGAAATATTCGATTTCCACATCGAATAATTTCGCAACGTCACTATTTATTACGTGTCATAACGTTGCAACACTGAAATTGTCAAATCTGGAATGGAATTAAAAGTCCGAGTATAAGTACTACATTAAATAAAACCCTATCTTGAAATCCACTACTACGGTATCACCCCTAAACACTTACCTTTCTGAATAAAAACAATATATAATAAATATTGTATAACCATGGACCATGGAAAAATGTCGCCTTTAAACTTTACCTATGTGTATTTCGTTATTTTTAGAATGCCAGCATGAATAGTGCTAATAATAATAATAACTAAATCCGCAAGGCAGCTTGTGGCGAGCTGTTGGGCAGTGGCGACCCCACGGACCTGACTCCCGGGAGGTGTCTTGTTCTTCTCTCTCCGGTTAGTCCTCGTGACGAGCTGGAGTGAACACTGATGAGGAACAAGCCCTCCCACCTCATTCTTGCCTTAATTGGCTGGCTTAAGTGGAGATTCGCAAGAGTAGGAGTTGAAGGAGACTCGGGGGAAGGATGTATCCCAGTAAGGTGCTGGTAGGGGTCTTGACCGTACTTCCGGGATTGCTCTGATAGCCGTGGGATGCCTCTCCTTCCCCAAGCAGCTCAACGTATGTTGCCCCCGTGTCGCTACATGCTAGCGGCCGTTACCGGGGGCCCATTAATTGAGTTTGCCAGTCACCCCCTGCCTGTTTATCCGTATGTATCAATATTGGTCAGGGGCATGGGCCATAGTATTTCCATAGTTATCATATCCACCAGTCCATAGCAACCCATACCTATAACCCTATCAATTTTTACCACAATTCACTATAGTCCTGCATCAATCGGGGATTGTCCTTGGGTGCACTTATTTAGTGCATACAGGGATAATTGCCGGCTGATGTCCCACCACATTTAGATTAAAAGATTAAAACTGTTCAACGGGCCTCTGCGAGTTGGCTTCGGCTCCTCGTACGCCTTCCAAAGGTCCGGGACCCTGTGGTCCCGTGAAAGGAAAGAACTTTAATAAAATATCTTGACTTAGCTCACGAGGTTGTTGACATGTGGAATGTGGACTCGGCTATCGTTGTGCCGATAGTTGTGACGGCAAACGGGTTAGTCCCCAAAAGCCTCGACAACCACCTTAAGAGGCTGACGTTAGGCGGATGGATCAAGGGCCTCATACAGAAGGCAGTCCTCCTTGAAACGACACGTATTGTGAGGAGGTTCTTGTCTCTGGAGCCCTAACCGCCGGCAGCTTGGACCTTGCTCCCGCTGCCAGCTGGCTCCTACTTTTATATTTTTAAATATTATTTTATTTTATAGTAATATTTAAAAATGTAATTTTAGAGCGATTTTAATAAATATATGTAAATAATAACTTTAAAACACTTTTAAACTTAATAATAATAATAACTTTAGAGGAACTAACCTCACTGCGTACCGTGACAGGATGTTGTCTCTGTTTCAGGTGCTTGAGCCATCTGTCAACGTCTCCGCCCAGCGACTATCGGATCAGGTGCGTGTCATTCAACGCAGCCGCAGATTGGACGATGCTGCACTTGATCGGCTGCGCTTAGAAACACTACACAACCGGGTCGTCCTCACTTCTTCCCAACCGGCGACAAAAACAACTCCAGTGGAAAATGCCACACTCGCCACTCCTGGTGCTGCCGTGGAGGACGATAAGGTTGAACAAGTGAGTACTCAGTGCAATGAAATATTGAGGAACGCTTTAGAGGATGCGATACATGAGTATAGATTTGCTCCCAGTGAATTAAGACCCAGATTACCACGTTTGCCCATGTGTGGAAAAAATAGGGCGCTGGTGTGTGCCTTGGATTCGCTACTCGAAAATTATTTTGAAAGTAGCGAAAATTTCTATGATACACACTCGATCCTGTATTGTGGGGCGATAGCAGCTTGTCGAGTAGCTAACGTCAGATTCCCAAATCTTGACGCAGCAGTCCGACCGAAACCAGCTGCTCCTGCCTGGCAGTGCAGGATTGAGCGTCGTATCGATGAGGCCAGGGTACTCATCGGCAAACTAACCTGCTTCAGGGAGGGGAACAACCGCCCTAGAGTGATGCGCTTTGTAAGGCGTGCATTTGTGGGGACTGAAACTAGTCCTCATGAATACCTTACACGTGTTACAGAGCGCATCGACTTCCTGAAGCAGAAAATCTATGCATGGGCAAACCGTATTAGAAGATATAAAAAAAGGGTAGAGCGCTATACTCAGAATCGTATGTTCCAAAGTGATCAGAGGTGGGTGTACAGAGACTGGGAACGGTCCAGCCAAGATGTGGTTAACGGTCTGCATCCGGACGATGAAACCACTAACTCATTTTGGTGCAACATCTGGTCGGTGCCTGTTAACCACACGGAGGCTGACTGGATGTGCGATGTTGAGCGGGAGTGTGAAACTTTACCAGAGATGGAGGAGGTAGTCATTACCTCCTCTGATGTAGCCAATGCAGCATGTTCGGTCCCCAATTGAAAATCACCGGGGCCGGACGGACTGCACAACTTTTGGCTGAAATCATTTACCAGTTCACACGATCGCTTAGCGTCGCAGTTCCAGATGGCCTTAGAAGCTGGATCGTTGCCTCAGTTTCTGACTACAGGAATTACCCACCTGCTCCATAAATCGGGTAGTTACACTGAACCCAAAAATTATAGACCGATTACGTGTTTACCAACGGTCTATAAACTTTTTACATCCATTTTGAGAGCAAAAATTACAAAACATATAGAAAAAAATTCCATCATGTCTGTCTCTCAGAATGGATGTAGAAAGGGGTCACGTGGAACTAAGGAGCTACTCCTCATTGATATGGTCATTAGCCAGCAGGTTCGTCGATCCCGAAAGGATTTGTCTACATGCTGGATAGATTATAAAAAGGCTTATGACTCCGTACCACATACATGGCTTATGAGGGTGCTGGAGTTGTATAAAATTAATACAACTCTGCGCACCTTCTTACAGTCATGTATGAGGCAGTGGAGCACGGTGCTTTCCTATCCAGGATGTAAGCAAATCCAAAGGAGTGAAGAACCTGTAAGGATAGTGCGAGGAATTTTCCAGGGTGATAGTCTGAGCCCACTGTGGTTCTGCTTGGCCTTGAATCCTCTCAGTACTTTACTTGAGGCTTCAGGGCTGGGCTATCGTTTGCGGAGAAAAGGTCACGTTATTTCTCACTTACTTTACATGGATGACCTCAAGTTGTTTGCACCAAACAAGGAGGAGCTGATGGAACTACTAAAAATAACTAAAAATTTTAGTAGTTCCATCAGAATGGAGTTTGGTGTTGATAAGTGTGCGGTCATGCATGTAAAGCGAGGCGGGATAGTGGAATCTGAAAGTCTAGAGCTGTCAGATTTCACAAAACTGAGATCACTCTCCGCAAATGATACCTACAAGTACTTGGGTATGTCGGAAGGATTGGGTATTAATGGGCCGCACATGAAACAATCTTTACAGGAGCGCATCTTTGGCCGCCTGAAAAAGGTACTGAAAAGTTCGTTATCAGGCGGCAACAAAGTACGCGCCTTTAACGGTTGGGTCATGCCGGTCCTGATGTATTCTTTTGGCATACTCAAATGGACTCAGACTGAACTTGACACCCTGGATAGACGAGTCCGGACGCTGCTGACTGCAAATCGAATGCATCATCCTCGTTCATCAGTCATGAGGTTGTACATCCCGCGGAAGTGTGGGGGTCGAGGCTTTCTAAACGCTAAGACCCTTCACAACCGTGAGGTGTGCAATCTCAGGGAACATTTCCTGAAAGTGGACGAGGATATGCATCGAGAAGTAGTCACAGTGGACAAGGGATTCACACCACTATCCTTGGCTAAAGAGAACTGGTGCAAACCCGTAGTGCTGAGCGTCAATGACCGCAAGGCGGTATGGAGTAGCAAGGAGCTCCACGGACGCTTCTTTCGGGCTCTCCACGGGCCCGATATAGATTTTCTAGCGTCCGTAGCTTGGCTACGATTCAGTAACCTCTTCGGAGAAACTGAAGGATTTGTATGTGCAATTATGGACGA